TAGTAAACATAATTTACGAAAAGTAACCCGCCAAATTGGCTAGTGATTTGACAGCTTTACCCGCCACAGCTGATTTTTACCGGCATTTGGCGGGTTGGCGGGTGTTAATTTCAAACCCTGTATGGTGCCCTGGTGGCCTGTATACAGTCGCCAGAAGAAACGACACAGGGGATTTATCATTAACACTTGTTTCTCTGGATAATGTTATATGAAGCACCATTACTTCAAACGAGTTATACTTGAAACCCGCCTTCTGAGAAATACTGAAAACATTGTTATAAATTGAAGCAACACCTCCCCCTTTACCTTTTGGACGCGGCTCATGTTTATAACAGTAATCTTGGGGGGTAGACTCATTTAAAATAATGTAATCATCAGGTTTTAGCCAAAAATAATTAAAATAAACCATTTGTATGAGTCGACATTATATTGATTTGTGCTTATTCGCCAGTGCAATATATACTTCTAATGAAATGTAAAAATAAATTTCTCAAATGACAACAATCATTGTGATTATAATTTTGTGCAAAATAATATTTTTTTATCAGCTTAACCATTATACAGCATGACAAAAATGTGACTTAAGTTTTCATTGACTAAAACTAGACTAAAATGCTCAGACATTTAGTCAACTAAAACTTGACTGAACAAAAACAGGACAAGTTGACTAAACATGATAATAACTAAAAAGTACATTTGACACAGGACTAAGACTAAATAAAAAAATGGCTGACAAAATTATTACTGGCCCTGCATCCCAATGTTCATACTATCCATCCTAAATGTAAGATTAGAATAAGTCCCAAAAGCATATGTTGAAAAGTGTATGCCAAAAGTCCCTGGATGGTCTACTATTTCAGGTAGATTTTTGAAGTGTGGATCTGTGAACACTATAATGGCTAATATTGCCCACAATCCATTGCGCTTTGGTGAAGGATTCAGTTCAGAACTACAAAAAACTACAAGCACGAGGGGTTTCCCACTAGTGCTTTCAGCACTGCCTCTGGTGGTATGGTGTAAAAGGAAATAGAATAGTTATTTTAAATTGTAATAATATTTCACAATATTAGAGTTTTACTGTATTTTTGGTCAAATAAATGCAGCCTTGGTGAGCATAAAAGACTTTAAAAAAAGACTTAAGAAAAAATCTTACTGTCACCAAACTTTTGAACGATTGTGCATGAATTTATATAATCACAATATACCCAACATGTTTTGCTTTAACAAAACAAAACTGTCTGCTAACAAATGCAACATTCACTCAAAAAAAAACAAAAAAAAAAAGACATTGAAAACAACACAATTCCAGTAGACATGCAAACCAGATTGTTTATTTCTGTAGTACTCCAGTAAATATGTTCTGTGGTTTAAAAAAATTAACACAAAAAAAAAAAAAAAAAAAAAAACATTGAAAACAACACAATTCCAGTAATGGGACATGCAAATAAAACTAAATATAAACTCTTGGTTAATAAACTAAAAGATAATGTTTCTAATTATTAGATAGATCTGTAGTGGGGAAAATGTCCTTGACCTTGTTACCTTGTTAAACTCAGTTAAAATGGTTTACTGGGTCATTGCATCTTTGTGTATAAAACAAGCTCTTTGTCTATGAAACTCTTCTGTTTAGATGCTGCTCGCAGTGGGAGGAGGCCGCCCAGAGCCCAGCAGAACTCTACTCCTTTTGTAACCAAGACAGGCCTCACTTTGCTGAAAGAGTGCTGTGGATTCACCTGCTCTATAATGTAATAGGCACACTTTCGGCAGTGGCAACAGGAACACAGTTCATTTCTGGAGCCTTGGATGAGGATGACGTTTTAATGACACCAGGAGACTCAAAGAATATGATGTGAACCAACACTAGAGGTTTCTGAAAGACAAAGCTCTGAAGTTGTCTGTTAAGAAATACAGTCTATGCGTCACTCTTATATTTTTTAGCATTTTTTCTTATTTTCCCGCACGCATTTGCTCTTTCTACGTAACTACTCTCATTTTTTCTTTGAAAAATCCTGTTTCATTGTATTACAGAGAACATGTTGTGCCCTCTCAAGGGTTCTGCTGTCAGCAGCTCAGCTGGTTTGCTGTCATTCCCTACTCTTATCTTTTCTCTCATGATACATTGCTACAGCACTGCAGTTGTTTTGACTTCATCATCCATAAATGCTCAAGTTTCAGTAAAGATTCTGTTTAGACTGCTGATTCTTAGCCAAGCCAGGCTCATTGGAAATATGTGCCTGTGGCAACATTTTTGCAAAATAATATTATGTTGCTTCTTGCATTCTTTCACCACGCTTTGAAAGTAAAATGTTCCAGTTCGCAAAAAAACTCTCTGAAGGAACAATGCCATTTTAGCTTGTTTCTATAAGTTCTTGAGCTCCTTTATTGTGATTTCACAGGACTCATACCCGAGTGCTTCACATTGCAAATGGGTCATTCTGTGTAAAATCAACCAGAGGTCTCCGGCTCAAATTTTTGATTTTGCAAATATTTTTTGTGAAGAAAGATAAGCATGTATAGTGATGAAAGCCAAAATATTTACTGAGTAATCCACTATTTTGTAGAGGGGGTGGGGGTCAAAATGGCAATTTTCACCTGAGATTCAGAGACAATTTACAGGGGGTTAAAAATGACTTCAGAAAGATGGCAACATCCTTATGTTATTTTAACACAGAGATTGGTAGGTCTGTAAGTAAAATATGTTGACTTTAGCAATCTTTGTTGAATTATGTGCCAATGGTGACCATTCAAAAATGGGGAAAGAGCACTTTTCACGTTTTTTCTCCAAATTTTGCAGGCCTTTAACTCAAAAAGTATTAAAGATATCTTAATGCCCTTTTAAATATTCAGTCTTAACAAACTTCCCTTTTGGCATCTTCATTTTTAAGGCCCTATATGGTTTGGTTCCAGAGATATTTGAATTTCAATATGGCTCAATGATTGGAATATTCAATATGGGACCTATTTGAGTTGACACGGAATTCCCCAAATGCAGTGTTGTACCAGGTGAGCTAATGAGCAAATTTACTATGCTAGAAAAGCCATACATATGGAACTGCTTATATGATGCAAACGTCAAAATGTAGTTTACAAATCATTCACTATGTTAAAAGTGTTTTGAGGTCATGACATAGTATTGTTCAAGGAACCGTGCACAAATAAGTCTTTATTAATCAATAATATGCCACTTAATAATAATTTGTGTGAAAAGGAATAAAAGTTGTCTATGTTGTATTGCTTTACTGCTTTATATTTCTGCTGGAAACTGCAGTGAATTGTATATATAGATACGTTTTCCAATGAGCCTTGGTTGTTCTTAGTCCATGTACAGTGGCTAATGAGACATTTGCACCACTAGTTGAAGCGCAGGTGCTTGCACAATAATAATAATAATTAAATGAAGAACATTTCATTCGGGTGGCCATCATCTAATAGAGCCACACAACAGGAGCCTGTCCTTTCCACAGCTTGAAGTCCAGCATATCTCACAGTGCCAAAGCATGTTGTTTATGTTCTCTGGTGAAGTGCTTTCAACAATGTCAAGGGCTCTTCTCTGTGGAGACAAGGCTCCATAGCAACCAGCGCATAGAACAATTAATCTTTAGTCGCTTTTAGTGACTTTAGCTGCTGACTGGATGTAAAACATAAAGGCTGGGTTTCTGTATGATGTGAAGTACTATAGAACACTGCAGCTACAATTAGAGTAACTGTTTCCCCTGAGGTTGTCTCCTTTATAAAGCATAAAACATTCAGGTTACACTCTGATGAGTTCTTTCATATCGCTCTCAGCTATCTTTTTCTTTTTCTTTGGTTAGACACTGGTGTAGTCCAGGTTCAAGCTTAGAGTTATTTTCAGCACCGGGTTACATGTCTTGCTATGCTACACCGTCAAATTACTTTCGATGAAACTGGTGGAGCAAACTTGTGTAGCTATTTAGTTGTCTGTAGAAGTTACTGAATTGCCTCAGGTGTCTTTATACAGTCTATTGACAGCTACCAACATGATTATGATGATTTATAATGATACAGAATTTATGTGATTTGCTAAATCACAATATAAGTTGATGTATTAATGATAAATTATGAATAAGGTGATGTCTTGGCATTTCTAGTGTTTAAATTTTAACTTTAATTTTAAAACAAGGTACATTTTAATGTTTAATTCATTTGTTATTGATGTATATATGGACCTTTATGTATGTATATATGTACTGTATGTACTTATTTATTTACATATTTACATTACCATTCAAAAGTTTGGGGTCAGTAGGATTAAAAAAAAAATAATAATAAATGCTATTCATTTGAAGTTTCTATTTAAAAATCTAATACAATAATCCTGAAAAAAGCAGGACAGCTGTTTTCAGCATTGATAAAAATAAGAAATGTTTCTCAGCATATTAGAAAGATTTGATCATGTGACACTAAAGACTGGAGTAATGGCTGAGAAAATTTCAGCTTTGCATCACAGGAATAAATTACATTTTAAAATATAATAGAAAATAGTGATTGTAAATTGTAATAATATTTACAATATTATCAAATAAATGTGGCCTTGGTGAGCATAAGAGACTTATTTCAAATACATCAAAAAATCTTATTGACCCCAAACTTTTGAATGGTATTGTGAATATAAATAAAATGAAGCTGCCATGTTTTTTTATGTTCCTTTTTTTCCCCCAAGCTGTTTTGTCTCTAATATATATTTTTTTTTACCACAAATTGCTTATCTTACTGTCAGTTGCTTGAGGAAAAACAATTATATATAAATCGTTGTTCTAAGCTGAAAAGCGATATAGTCTATGTAATGTATTACTGTAAAATACAGATTGTTTCAAATCATGAATCTCCGAACAGTCTACTTTTTTAGATGTTCCAATTGATTGTCATCTTAGATCAGACATTATGAAATTTATATTTTAATTATGAAAGAAGGACAACATGTTTGTTTATGACAAATTATGCTTTGCACACTAAAAATTATTTGCATAGTTTTCCAGGTGGCTCCATCTCTTGTTTTAGAATGACACTTATTATCTCTTATTATATCTTTGCTTAGGACAGGCTACACTCCGATACATCCAGTCTCTCTACCATGAAATATGCATGCTAATAACCCAAGGGTGTCTGTCTCCCTAATTAATGACACCAGCACGTCCGTCAGTCTTATTCACTTATGCTGTTTGTGAAATCCCTTCATACTCTATTCACAGATCTATACAATCCCACCTGGACCAGTCAGCTGCACATTTCCCTATGAAGCAGGACAGTTGTTAATCTATAAAATATCTATGAATATGTTTAAATAAAATAGTTTATATTCTACTTCAGCTGTTTACAGATTTGTTCTGAACATTTCACCAAAGAACCATGTCTCAGGCTCCTGTACTCAGGGCTAAAATAAACCTTAGATTCACCATGATAAATGTGTTTTATGCTGCAAATAAATGGATCCTTCCCAGGTTTTTTTTTGAGGTACCCTAGAGTCCAAGTGCACACAGCCAGTGTGATAATCCATTTATTTAGATTCAAGGTGCTGTCAGACACTCCATCTCACTGCTTATCTTACTCACATTTTGTGTACCTGAATGACTTGCAAATGCTATCATTATTATGCAAAATATATATGCATATTGGTCATATGCAATACTGTAGAATACTGACCACCAGGTTCTGAGACATCCAGTTGTTTTATCTGACTATTGCAACAAGAAGGTTGCCATGGTAATATGAGTGTTTAATCACATTCCATTTTGAGTATGGATTGTATTGTAATTGCCTAAATAACTAAGACTTGTCTTAGGAGAATATACAGTATTTTGAGGTTTTTCTTGTTTTAATCACAAACCTATCTAAATGTAATGCTTAAAATAAGAATATATAAATATATCTTATTTTAACATTTAACATAGCATATTTTTCTAGAAAACAAGATATAGCCTAAATATTCTCTAAAAACTAGTCTTAATATCTTATGCAATTTTGATAATCACATAAATGGAATTTGTTTTAATAACATTCCAATATTTTTAATAGAAATTTCATTAATTTAATGTTTTACTCTTTTTTTTGCACTCAGTGTAACTTAGTGAGTCCTTTGATGAATTTAGCACAGAAATTGGCATCAAGGAAAAATGAATGCCTCATTCCTCCTCAGACTGGAATCAAGCCACTTTCTTTCTCCGTCATCGTGTATAACAGTAAAGCAACCAGTTGCAGTGATGATCTGATTTCCCAATAGCATTACCATTTACAAAGAGCTAGAACAGAGTGAGATAAACTCCTCTTTGATTTCACATCAAGCTTCCAACCTGCTCTGGGCATTTTCCTTACCGCGAGAGTCTGCTCATCCAGTGTATATTGTGTACAACAGCAAAACAAACAAGAAAACAAACAAAAGCACACCAGAAATGCCCACTATCCAGTCAACACCATCAGGGTCTATGTCTGATCTAAGTTTGTGTCTGTGTTTGAACCAAAGCTCTCATGGGAAGCTTCTGTCAGTCTCCACCCTCCCTGAGTATAGGTTATTGTGGTGCATTGCAGAGTCTGATGATGACTCACCCACAGGTTTCACTGATCACAGGAAATTGAAGGGTGTGAGAACATTACTTATTAACATTAGCATTTAAAACCAGCTCAGGAAATTGATGTTACAAGTCATGCAGGACTGTGAACGTATTCAAAAGCTGCCAAATAAGTATTTTTATAGCTATACACAATTATGAAACAAGAAAAGTGTTCAATTGAAGATCCAAAACAACAGGACTGCCAACAGAAAACAGAACGGCCATCCTGGCCCGAAGAGCAAACGACAGACCACGACAACTCCCACCCCATCATGTCTAACACCTCTAATGTTTTGAGACTGTTACCATGACACTGAGGCAGTGGTTAACTGCACTTGAATGCTTCGGTTAGTTTACAGTAAGTGCGACTGCACTGCATTAGTTCTGTGTAACCACAGCAATATTCATATTCAAGCCCAACTGAGTAATTATCCCACAGAGGAGGATCAGAAAACTGGCCTGCCTGCTGAGCTCTAACCTCCTGGCTCATTAGTCTCTGTGCATTCATTAAGGAAACATATTCCTCACACTTCTGCCTGGTTGACAGGACAATGGCATTGTGTGATTCACTCCCTGCTGTATTCCACACTGTGGCTCTTTCGACATCTTTGGAAGGTTATTAAATCTAAAAAGTTGTCTAA